CATCATTTAATCCTAGTTCTCAAATTCTGCTTTCGATTAATCGGAAATTATCGTATTGGTTTTCTTCTCACTAATCACTTCGCATCGTTGAAGTTCATATCACCCCCATATCAAACGATAAATCATTTAGAATACTAAAGTCCATTTTTGCTTAATGACAACCGTAACTAGTGCGTACATTTTGACGTCTCATCCTGGCGTTATACAGAACAATGTCACCTCCGAAGAGAGCATCACGTCCTGATGGTAGCACAACAATTGCCACCAATAACATCCAAACACCCATCTCCTCAACAAACCACAACAAGTGCACAGTTGTCAAACAGTGAATGACTGACCATTTATTTCATCGAACGAACAATTAAATGAGTCATTTTATATATCATGTAAATATTAGATCAGACAAATTAAAGAACTGTAATTAATTATGCAAAATTTGTGCTGAATAAAGATTCCATCCCTCTTACGTACATCTATTAAAATTATGATGAATGTATTAAACTTCAAATCACTACATTATAGTTACATTATAGTAACACAGTAACGTACGTAGATCTAAGCTTAAGAGCACGAGTTTATTTTGAAATTAAAGTTGAGAATCTTTCAAAATCGTTTCAGAGGAATTCGGCAGTGTATTGTTTCGCATATCACATCATAAAAAATAAATGTTTGTATAAAATGACGAAAATTACTGCGAAATACAAGTGAATTATTCAACAGGAATTTTTCATGGTATCACAATGGGCTATAGATCACATCAGATTATTATGCGAAGTAAATGAAAGTCATCTGATAGGTCAACGAATCATTGACAAAAACAGTCATTAATTCTGTTGATATGCATGAGAAGGGAACAACAGAACTGAAAAATAACAAGAATAAGACAAATAAACACAAAATTTCTCCTCAGAAACTTGATATCGAAACTGGATTTGATTTCTGAGAATGCACACACTCATCGATTGTTAGCATGCGCATGATCCCTGTTGTAAGTGTGCGAGATAACCTCATGATAGTTCCCTGCAATTTATTGGCTTAGAACACTGATATCTTATTAATAGAACTGTCATGTGCATAACTAGGGTTTGCACGGGATACCGGGATTTCAGTTCTAATCCCGATCCCGGGATTCAAGTTCTGAAAAATCCAGGGATCTCCGGATTTGATAAGGCAGGTCAATTTGTAGGAATTTTAATGGTATGCCCATCTTGAAGCAAGGCATCATCATTCTCAGCTCGTTCATATTCAGTCATCTGTGTTGTTTGCCACCAATAGTTGACGAATAGTCAAGGGAATAGATGGAAGTCATACGACTGGCATGACCCCGGGATAATCTCGGGATTGAATCCCGATCCCGAGATTGAAAAAAAGTCGTGATCTTGCAAACCCTGTGCATAACTCATTCAAAATCGCTCGCTCAGCGTGAAACGATGAAACGTGCTCACCTCCATTGAATTGGTCCATTTGCGAAAACTCGTAAAAGGAATTCCGCCTCTTCACCTGCATCAAACGTTGACGGCACTATTAAATAACCACCAGGTGGGCCTCGGAACCTCAGCGTTGCCTGATAAAAACCAATTATTTGACAGCGTATACTGGATTCCGGGCTCACAAGCGGCTCAAAACTAATACTCGTGGATCATGAAGTCCGGAAACATGACGACTATCAAAGGCTTCAACATTCTGAATGGAAAGCTGAGTAATTTCAGAGAAAAAGACAAACTTCTCTGCGATTTATAAACGCTTTAGTACTCGCAAATACATGTTCTGTTTCGAAGAAGCGTCTTCCCATACGTTCCCTCAAATGATCGCAATTGTAGATTGAAAACCCAATTGCCAGATTATCCAAGCCCTGAATAATCATTTATTCGATTTCCATGAATAATATAATTGCATCTTAAACAAAATATTTACAGTAACGTAAAAATGCTCTAGATATCCTGACATTATCAAAAAAATTTTGCTAAAATTCTACCTTGCATTGTAATTCTCGTCGATATTTCTGCATCACTGCCACTATCATCGTACATTTTCCATCACCCTCTACCGTATTCTCGTCCGCATATACGCTGCCCGCATACTGAGGATTGTCAGCAAAACTTTCTGAAATTTGAACTTTTTGTGACTCTAATAAATCCAAACAAATTTTATGAGTAGCTTATATGTAGATCCATCTAAACATGGTGCTAAACGAG